ATCAGCACCACCATATGTGGTTAGAGCTAAAATGTCGGTTCAGCCACCAGGGTGTGGCATGGTTCTGTGACTTGCTTACTACATAAACCCACTCAGGTCTGTCCTTCCTGGACACACTGGCTGCGGGATTCAGTGGGCAAAGCCCTGGCGGGTCAGCCTTCACTGCCTGAGCAGCTTGCATACATAGTCCCCTGCCCTCGCCTCCGTTTCTCATGGAAGATGGGCTGAGCTTGTTGGCTCAAGTTACGAGTTCCTTCAAATAACAAAAGCAAGTGCTGTATTCACTTACCTGCCTGGATGCACTGGGTTTTGTATTTCATTAGATGGTCTAGGCAGCCTGGAAATTTGAATGAAACTTTTTACATTTTAGAAAAGGTATCTGTGCTCCACCCCCTTGCCAACAAGTACACACACATATATGCTCACCACACCCCATACGAATTGCCAGAACATTCAAGATGTGAGGTAAGATAGCAGATTTAAGTGGGACACGAACATTTTACTATTGAACAGAAGATTATCTACCCGTGAAATGATAACCAGAGTCTAACTTAAATGCAGCCTTTATCACAACAGGATCTATGATCCCCCGAGAAGATTCAAACCAGCTTTTAAAATGAGGTTGGGTAACATGTGTAAATACTGCCCCTACCAGGTGGTGGAGCTTAATCTACAACACACTCCCATCCCATGTGGGGAGACTTAGTGACTTGTTTCCCAAAACTAGACTAGGGAAGGGGAAACAGTGGATTTACATGGAGAAGACTGGCAGGTGCCACTTAACCAAGTGATAAAGGTCAACACTACCAATGATGTGTGGATGTCACCTACCCCTGATGGGGTGCCATGAGAAGGGTGCCTCACCCCTGAAGTATACTCAGATGGGGGACATTATACGGACGCCTGACCAGCACTCCTCGAGACTGTTAAGGCCATGAGGAACAAAGACTAAGAAGCTGTCACAGACCAGAGGAGACTGGGACAGCAAGAGGACATTCATGGAAAAGCAGGTAAAATCCAAATAAAGTCTGGAGCTTAGTTAATAGAAATGTACAAACGTTGGTTTATTAGTTGTGACCTATGTCCCATGGTAATGTGAGATGTTAATGATAAGGGAAACATTAAAGGGTATATGGAAACTCTTCGAACTATCTTTTCAACTTTTCTATAAATTTAAAATCATTCCAACACAAACACATTTATATTGTTTAAGATGAGGTTTGTTCTCATCAAGAAAGCTGGAAACTGCTGTGTAGTAAGAGGTGTGGCACCAAGAAAACCCTGGACCACAGTCTCAAAAAAAGGACGATTGGAAATTGCCCATTTGGAAATTCACCTGAGACAGAGCAGGTGTGGGGTACAAAACAGGTGGCCCATTCCAGATGGGGGTGCTGTGGGAACTGCTGCAGCCAGACACCATGCTGGCACCTTCACCCATGATCCTGTCTCATCCTAACCCCAGCCCTGTGTGTGACATTGCAGGTGTGACCCTGGGGACTGATGGAATGATGTAAAGCAGGGGAAAGAACCCAACATTCAACACAGTGCCACCTGCCTTCACCAACAGTTCAGGGACACACCTAGTGGCTGTACATCCTCAGAGACCCTGCAGTATGCTCTCAAACAACACAGCATGCTAGGAAGCCAAGACTGGAACAAACATTTTGTTATTTTCAAATATATCAATCTACCTTTTTTTTAAAAAAAAAAAATTAGAATGAGAGAGAGAGAGAGAGAGACATTGATGTGAGCAAGAAACATTGATCAGTTGCCTCCCACACACATCCTGGCCAGGAATCGAACCTACGACCTTTTGATATATGGGATGATGCTCCAACCAACTGAGCCACACTGGCCAGGGCTGGAACAAATGTTTTGCATCAGTGACAAAGAGTGGCTAAAGTGCATGGACCAACAAGGAGCAGAGTTTGAATGTCAGCTTCTCTTTTACTGTGTGTGTGACCCAGGCCAAGTAACTAGAGAAATGTCTTCATCTGTAAAGCTGCTATCCCATCCTCAGGATTATTGGAGGCTTATGTGACATGATACATTCAAGTGCTCAGCATAGTGCCTGACACACAGAAATGGGCTTTTCCCCAATTTTACCTCCTCTACTCTGTGAGGTGCAGTTACTGTGGTGTTTATAGTACAAGACTTGGTAAGGCCAAACGTCTTGTCCAGCGTACCCTGACCTCCCTATACCAAGCCACATCCCCAAAGCAAGCCTCCCAGCAAGACAGAATAACAGAAGATGGAGGAAGTTTACCTGGTGAGGTGAAATTCACAGACAATGAGGGGCTGTCATCATTCATATTTGCATTGGGGATGTTATGGGCCCCAATGAAATATTGTGTGTTCAGCTCCACAGAGAAACCAATGTAGGAAAACGTCCACTGAAAGGCAAAGGAAGGACCCCTAAATTTCTGAAACATGGCAATGCAGGAACATAGTACCTTTGTGTGGCCTTTTCATTCATAGTTTCATTCCTTAGCCTACTGCTGAAACTTAGGTCTCTAGCCGATGTCTACTTAGAGCAGGAGTGGGGAATGTCCGGCCTCGGGCCGTATAAGGCCCTCAAAATCTGGCCCTGCCAAGGCATTGGGGGTGAATTAAATGTTTGACCAAATATAGCAGGCTAAGTTTTAACTTGGTAATTTTATATGGCCTGTGAATAATGTAAATACCCAAATGGCTCTTGGCAGAAAAAAGGTTCCCCACCCCTGACCTAGGGAATGGTCCCCACACAATTTGTCAGTGTAACTCACAGAAGCAGAAAAGTGTAAAATTTTAGAACCAAAATATTAAGTTCACGCTCCCTCACTTTGCTGATGGGGAAACTGAGGCTGAGAGGTGCTGACTTGCCCAAGGCACACAAAAACGGGCTTTGAACCCAGACAGCGTGCTTCAGGCTGGAAGTTGCAGGTGCTCACCAGCCTGTGTGTGCAGCACTCCATCCATATCCCCTAGCAAAGGGCCTTCCTAGTTTTAAGGACAAGTTTCTCCAAGGGCTTACTTTGCCTCCAGAGGGTCTGGTCTGAGTCTGGAAGGCCTCTGTGTAATTGCACCTCACGCAGCTGTAGGACTGGACGTTGCTTTTGCCTGACACACAGATCTTGGTGGCCTTCAGAAAGCGGATGCTGGCTAATGAAAGAGATGAGAGCAGCTGGTTATTTAGCACCCATTATGTGGCCGGCTTGCTGCTAAGAGTGTACATGCCTCATCTCATTTCATACAACAGACCTAAAAGTTAGACACCATTGTTGTCCTCAGCTCACTGATGGGGTGTATGACGTTTAGGGAATTTCAGGGAGATTTGCCTAAGCTCACAAAGCTCATTGGGTAGAATATGGATTCAGATTCCAAAGCCCAAATGTTCTCCTCATCACAACTAAAGAATTTCACAGGACACCTGCAAAGGTGACTCTAGCTCTGCATATTCTGAGTCTCTTCAGAAGTAAGAACCTTCCAGAATGTCATCACCAAACCATGCCTGCTCTGACTGCACTTTCAATCATGCTGAGTCTTCTTCCTGGAGTGCTCTTTTCTTCTATCTGCCTCTCCAGGGCTTGCTCCCTCAAGGCCAAACTTATATCTATAACAACGGCTGACAGATACAAAAGCTCACTCTGCTAAGTATGGGGCCAAACATGATACTGCAACATCTAATTTAAAGTGACCTCGCCAGGGCCCTCTCCTCTCTTCCCTGCCCCCATCGACTCACAGCTCCTTCTGGGATTCCAAGCACTGTCCCTGTGCCCGTGTCTGTAGCTGACTCACCTCTCTGTGCCTGGCACTCCCAGATTCCTGACCAAATGGAATTTAACTGAATTTAGGGTGGAAACCACAGACATGGACTTTAGGGCCCCAGAATTGGCTCATCACAAGCTGCCTTGGGGGGCTGCCAGGACTTTCACAAGCTACTGAGAAGTGGGAACGTCATCTAAGCCAGTGCTTTTCCTTTTTTCCCCTCTTAAATTTTCGTTGAATTCATTGGGGTGACATTTGTTAATAAAATGATTTAGGTTTCAAGTGTACAATTCTGTAATACATCATCTGTATATTGTATGCTCACCACCCAAGAGGTACTTTTCCTAAACTTGGGGGAGTCATCTCTGTCCTCAACTTGTCTTCTTCCTTGAGGTGTGACATTACACACCGAGAAGCACACAGATCAGAAGGGCTCCCTCCACCTGATGAGCGTTCACACGCAGGTAGCCAGTACCCAGGTCGGAAACACCCCAGGAGAGTCCCTCCTGCTTTCTTTCAGTCACTCCCAGCCCAGCATAACCACTATCCTGACTCCTAACTGCTTGCCTTAGTTTTGTTTGTTTAGCATTTTTATTAATGGAATCATATGGTACACATGACGATAGGCATGTATGCAGATATGAACGTAGAAACGCTTTTGAGTCTGGCTTCTTGGATTTGTGAGATTCATCCACATTGTGTATTGTCACAGCTTGTTCGTGCTCATTGCTCTATTGGATTCCAATCTGTGATTACAATTCTAGTCAGGCATTTCCATCTTTTGGCTGTTATGAATAATGCTACTATGAATATTCTAGTATGTAGTTTTGGGTGCATGTATGTATATATTTTTCTGGGTATATGTATAGGATTAAAATTAAAGGATCACATAATCTGCACATTTCTACCTTAACTTTGATTGATGCAAACTTACCATCTGCTCGGAGTATCCAGCTTATGTTCATCAAAATTGAAGAGCTTTCTGTTACAACAGGTTCCACTCGAAGGTCCCTCAAGTCTCCTGGGGTCAGAGTGTGACTGACCAGCCACTCTGGAGAAGGTCCTGGGAGGAGGTGAGACTGCCCATGACACACCCCTCCCTTGCCCAATTCAACGCCATCTCCTCTAAGCGACTCTCCCTGATCCAACCCTCATTCACAGTCCATCACTTCTCCCTGCTGAGGCAGCCTGACATTTTTCAGTGTTAACTGACTCATCCTCCTGGCCCCAACCTACAGACCACTTGGGACCACTCTAGGTGCCTCTGTGTGTCTGTGTATGTATGTATTTAGTGTATTTGACGTGTTTATTAGAATCAGTCTTGTCTTCCCCATGCCTCAGCCTGGACTCCATTCAGCTGGCCCACACACTTCCCACTTTCTAGTCTTTGCTGGTACCATCTCTCCTCCAGCTCACCCTCTTCATCCACATTTCTTGGACAGAAATCCACCCAGTCTTCAAATGCTACACTCTCAAACACTCCTTCTCTAAAATACTTGCTTCCTGTTTCTTAGTGTAAGTGACCGCCCTCCCACAGCACTTGCTCTCCCTCCCAGGAGTGACTGTCCTCACTTTCTACCTTGCACAGCCATTCCTGGCCTGCCTGTCCCCTCTTGCTGTCGTTCTGGCCATTAACCCCCCGCCCCCACCCCGAATCTGAAACACTGGGAGCTCTGAGAGAGGCTGCATGTGCTTCAGCTAACAAAGCAATAGTTCACCCTAAGCCTGGCCTCCGATGACCCACTGCCTGGATTTGGGCCCCATATAAGTCCAACTGTGTTTTCACTTTCAATGTAAAGCCCCAAATACCCATTCCCCAGCCACCTACCATTCTCAGAGCCACACTGAATCGTCTGCAAGAGAGAAAGAAACCAAGTGTCATGCTGAATACCAGAAAACCACAGCCAAATTAGTCAAAACACCATCCTTTTTTCTTAAATGCAAATACAAGTGCCGAGTGCTCAAAGAAGAAAAGCTGGGCTGGCTCCCCTTCCCAGTTTGGGGAGACTAAGCTGCCCCATATGGGCTATGCTGGACCATGGGTCAGCCATCCGTATACTAGGTCCTGAAGCCTGCTTATCGCCTCACTTAAAGACCGGAGGGGATGGCTCTGGACCATCACGAAGACCGCTTCACACTCTAACATTGAACCATAGGTTTCCAGGGCCAGCTAGCGTATCGTATCTTTTTATTTTCCCAGGTTAAGAACTGGCTATGCTAAGAAGATGAACAGAAGAAAGCCATGAATGCAGTTCATGGTACCTTCCCCAAGTTCTTGAAAATATTCTTCTTCTAATATAAAAGGATGGAATCACCTGTGTTATTGACAAAGTCATAAAGCAACTGTGAGCTCATCATGTTATCTTTTTAAAAGAACTTAAAAAAATAAATAAATATGTATCATCGGTGCCCAAGAAGGCCAGTACCTGATCCTCTTGGAGTTAACTGCTCATTTTAAAAAGATTATATATGTGATTTCAGAGAGGAAGGGAGAGGGAGAGAGAGAAAGATAGAAACATCAATGATGAGAGAGAATCATTGATCAGCACCCCCTGGGGAGCGAGCCCACAACCTGGACTTGTGCCCTTGACCAGAATCAAACCTGGGACCCTTCAGTCCGCAGGCCAACGTTCTAACCACTGAGCAAAACTGGCTAGGGCATTTTTAAAATTTTTTTAATAAGAAAATACAATTAGTAGTTTGGTTTTGGAATAAAATACTGAATCTTTTAGGCAGCAACAAGTACTAGTGACAAGACTCAATGCTATAGGTCCACCAGCTCTGGGAGCTGATTTCTCTCACCTCACCATTTCCAAACACCATGTCAGACAGAAGGCAAGACTTTTGATGGTTTGGGTAATCTGGGTTTAGGTGCAATTGTCAGTCCCTCACCTTTGTCTTTTGAAGCTGAACTCCAAGGGATAATGTTAGACAAATTTAAAAACAAATCAGTCACCAAAAGGCTGGTGGGACAAGTTGTAGGAAGAAGCAAAGCAACAGATCTGTATGTTAGAGAGCAAACTGTTGGCCTAATAGCAACCACCACAAAGGCAATGAGTTCTTCCTGTAGTGGAAAAGGCCAAGGAGGTGCCTAACCGAGACAGGTGCGGCAAGGACAGCAGCTGAAGACATCAGGGTGCCCGAGTGGGTTTGTCTTTCCATAACTACGTGCTTTTATGTGACATGCTGTTCTGAAAAGGCAGGGATATAATTTCAAACACTCTTTGTGAATGAGCTTTTTCCTCTTTAGTGATGCAGAACATTCCCAAGGCACTGGGGAAGAAAGGAAACTCATGCAGGAGAGGACAGCGCTTACCAGCTCCAGGGACCAGGCACCCCAGCACAGCTGAATCAACATGACAAAAGTGAGTGGTAATAGAGAAGCAGATCCTGCACCCCAAAAGGTAGGCGGGCCTCAAGAGCCCAAGCAGTAACAGTGCTGAGCACCTACTGTGTGCTGGGCTCTTTGCTGCAGGCCCTCATATTCCTCACTAGATTCTGGTGAGTTAGGTGTTACCCTTTGTTTTATAGATGAGGACACGGAGGTTCAATGAGCATAAATGACTGGATTAAGAGTAAAGGGTGGCATTTGAGCCTCGGTCTGTCTGGCCAAGCAGCAGGAAGCCCGGTGCCTGAGCAGGACAAGTTTGGGTACCCCAGGGTGCAGACTTGCCCTCTCCAGAAGGCCCTCCGCAAACGCCTTAACAAGGCTCGAGCTGGCCGGGCTCAAGGGATGGAAATGCGGGAAAGGGGCGCGAAGGGGAGCTTACCGGCTCCGGGGGCTGGGCACCCTGGCACAGCGCAGCCAAACTCAGCAACACCAGCGACATCGCAGGGCCACCGCCCCCCACCGCGCGGTCCTCGCCAGGTTCCTATAGCGCTCTTATAAGGC